GAGACAGAGAAGGGGGGAAGTGGAGAAGTGGGGAGAGAGGCAGAAGCAAAGCAGCCTCTCCAAGAGGAAAACAGAAAAGAGAGTGAGCTCAGGCCAGAAGCTGAAGACCAGCCTGCCTCAGCGGGTGGGGGAGGGAGTGGGCGTGGCTTGTCTCCTAAAGAGACAGAAAACCATTCTGTAGATGATCGCTGAGTGAACACTAGGCCAGCAGAGATCAGGGGAAGTCACAAGTGAGAGCTGTTTAAGAAGATGAAGAAAAAAGACATTTTTCTAAAGAATGAGATTTTTTTTTCCTCAGTGATAATATTATTTGTGCTAAGAATTTGAGACTGTATTTGAGGGAAGATGAATAGAGAACTAGAATTCTAAGACGAAATCTGTAAATAATAAATAATCCCTCCTACTCACCCTCTTATTTTTTCTTACTTTTTATTTATTCTTTGTGTCTTTCACATCATGCATTCCGCCTCCCAATCCCACTCCTCTCCCTCCCCACCCCAAAAAAGTAGAATCACATTTAAGAGGGAAAAAAGCAGGTGGGGGAGGAGAGAAAGGGAAAATCTTATTGTAGAAGCTGCGGTGTGGCACAGGGAGTCACACAGTAAACCCCTTTATACGTACATCTTTACATGCAAGCATCCATCCCAGAGAATCATTGGTCTGGTTCAAGGCCCCTGTTCTTTGCTACACCATTGATAATGAGCCCTCACTGGGACTCTTCCTGGACATCCCATTGCTGCCCTGAGTCATGGAGATCCTGAGTCCTGGGTCTGTGGAACCGACCCCCCCTCCCTGCCACACTCCAGCACATCATAGAATTACAGATGGGGTGGGTGTTGGGGTGGGCCAACATTGCCACCCATCCTCTTACAAACAGAACCGTGGGAGTTACTGAGCACATGGGCCACCAAACCAGGTAATTATGCTGGCTTCTTTTATATCAAGTCGACACCAGCTATAGTCAAGAGGGAACCTCGACTGGAAAAATGCCACACTGATAGGCCTATGGGTAAACCTGGGGTGCATTTTCTGGATTAATGATTGATGTGGGAGAGCCCTGCTGTCTGTGGGCACTGCACCCCTGGGCTGAGAGCCGTGGATGGTATAAAGAAGCAGGCTGAGGAAGCCGTGAGGAACGAGCCAGTAGGCAGCACTCACTCCGTGGTCTCTGCTTCCTGCCTGACCTCCCTGGACGATAGATAGCTATAAAATGAAATAACCCTTTTCTTCTTCCAGTTGCTTCGCTCATGGTATTTCATCACAGCAGTAGAAACCAGAACTGAGACAAAACGGTTTCCTGGTGCCCTTCTGGTAGATGATTACATAAAAAGGAAGTGGTCTCAGTGCCTGCTCCTTCACAATCCCTCCCTGCTTTCTAGAGCCTCCTGTGAAGAGATCACGCTCTGCCCTGACCCAGAGATGGGCTATGCTGAGCTGCTCTGACCAGCACATTGGTAGAGATAACCTATGCCCATCTCAAGCCCTGGTGGCTAGGGTTGTGCACTCCCCCATTTTAAAGACCCCACCCCCTGCCCTGAGAGTGAACGCAGATCAGCCTGCTAGAAGATGAAGCCGCGTGGAGAAGAACTGAGACCATTCTAAGTCAATCAATCTGCCAGTGTGGGGAGACCAGCCACTGCCCATCAATCACCTGCCACACGGCGGGTGCACACCTCACCAAGGCCAAGGAAGCTCCTGGTTCTTACACTTGGTTGGAGCACTAAGCGGTATTGTAAGCCAGTCGGAGTGGGTCGGTCACACAGAAATAGCCAACTCAAGTATGGTAGAGGATTCTGATCGAGGGGAGAGGGCAAACTCTAGGTCTCAGCCTCGGCTCCCTCTTTCTCTTCTCTCTAATTGCATGTATAGCTGTTCCAGCTGTGAGCGTGCCACCATGGGCAACAGTGAGACCGCGAGCGGCAAGAAAAATACCGGGCGGTTTTCAGTGTGCCGAGGTCAAGAGTGCCTGGGTACTCAGCAGGCAGAAGGGGCAGCCGCTTGGTATGGCCCCCACCTCCTCGGAAAGGCTCATATTGTGGTCCTAGTCAGAAGGGATGCATGTATCCCGGAAAGGAATGATGCTTGGAGAAGTTAGTGTGTGAATGGAAAGGCAAGACTGGAGCCAAGCCTTGCAGATAAACCATTAGCTTACTAACTACCCATCCTGCATGGAATGTCCAGATGACGTTTCAACACTTTCTAGTTAGAGCTGGGGATGGAGCACATGCCAGCCAATGTTCTGCCCACCCCCCGCCCAGCCCAAAATGTTTATTTCTCAGCTATTCTGTAATCCTGATGAAAATTTAAAAAGGCCACCAGTGGAAGAAATGCTCTGAGAAGTTATGGGAGGATGGAACAAGTGGAGTTTTGGGTGCAGTCCAGAGTAGACCTGAGGTCGAGGTGCAAAAGTCCAGGGGATTGTGGGGATTTGAACGAGCAATGCCTCCCCAGGGCCTCATGTGTTTGGACATTTGTCCCCTGTTGGTGGCACTGTTTAGGGGTGCTATGGAATCTAGATGAGGTAGTCTTGCTGGAGGAAGTACACCCCTCGGGACAGGCTTTGAGGTTTTAACCACCCCACTTTCTGACCTCTCCCTGCCGTGCCACGCCTCCCTGCCGTGCCACGCCTCCCTGCCATGCTAACCTCTCCTCTGGAACCTCTGCCCAAAAAAACCTTTTATCTAACAGTAACTAAAACGGGAATGGTCTAGACTAGAGTGAGTCACACTCCAGGGTCATCTCTACTTCTCAGTGCTCAGGGGCACTACTTGCAGCTGATCTGAGCCTAAGAAATAGCTACACAGGCGGGACAGTGCTGGCGCACGCCTTTAATCCCAGCACTCAGAAGGCAGAAGCAGGCAGATCTCTGTGAGTCCGAGGCCAGGCTGGTCTACAAGAGCTAGTTCCAGGACAGGCTCCAAAGCTACAGAGAAAGCCTGTCTCCTTGGAGAGAGAGAGAGAGAGAGAGAGAGAGAGAGAGAGAGAGAGAGAGAAGAAATATACACCCTTACCCAGATGATCAATAGCAGTGGGCCCTAAGGAGCAGCCAATGCCAGAGGCACTAAGAAAATGGTTCTGTTTTCTCTTATTTGTTTTTATGGTGCTATGAAGTCAGTATATGTGGTGTTGACACTGTGGTTAAGTATATAGGTGACGCCAGTATATGTGCTTTGATGCTGTGGTTAAGTATATAGTTGTTTCTTATGTTACCGCCTGTATTTATCTCTATGTAAATTATTTCAAATTAAAAAATTAAGATGAAAAGAATAGATCAAAAACAAGCCTTCGGGCCAGCAAAATGACTCAGCCTGTCAACTTTAGATCCTCAAAACCTACATACATGTAGGAGAGAACTGACTTCACAAAGCAGCTCTTTGACCTCCACGCATGCACTAGCATGCACAAACATGCAATTAAAAAAATACTAAATCAAGCTTTTTATAAGGTGGAAGCACTTTAGTTTCTTTGTCTTACACACACATGTGATATATATATTCACACACAGATATAATGTATGTTGCTTTTATAATAAAAAGTGTAAAGATCAAAAATGGCGAAATTTGGGATAAGTGGAGGCTGCCTAGGTAGAAAAGTCCTTGAGTATT